TTTGCTGCACAGGACCTCCAACCAACGCTATACACCAGATACACTGACGACATTTTCTTCCTTTGGACTCATGGTGAGGCATCACTGAAACAACTACATAGTGATATCAACAAGTTTCATCCCAACATCAGGCTCACCATGGACTATCCTTTAGAATCAGTCTCATTCTTGGACACACACATCTCCATCAAGGACAGACACCTCAGTACCTCACTCTACCACAAGCCGAAGGATAACCTCACCATGCTGCACTTCTCTAGTTTCCACCTTAAATGTATTAAAAAAGCCATCCCCTACGGACAAGCCGTACGCATACATAGGATCTGCTCAGATGAGGAGGAATGCGACAGACAGCTGAAAGTGGTGAAGGACGTCCTCATAAGAACAGAATACGATGCTCAACTCACCGATCACCAGTTCCGACGTGCCACAGCGAAAGACTGTAACAACCTCCTCAGAAGGCAGACGCGGGATACGACTGATAGGGTACCCTTCATAGTCCAGTACTTCCCGGGAACGGATGAACGACGCCACGTTCTTCGCAGCCTTCAACACATTATCGATGACGATGAGCACCTTGTCAAGATCTTCCCTAATCCTCCACTTCTCGCCTTCAAATAACCGCCAAACATTAAACAGACCATCGTTCGCAGCAAACTACTCAGCCTTCAGGACAACATCGACCATAACACCATACAACCCTATCATGGCAACCTCTGCAAGACATGTCAGATCATCAACATGGATACTACCATCACACGTGGGAACACCACACACCACGTGTACAGCAGGTACTCATGTGACTCAGCCAACGTTGTCTATCTCATACGTTGCAGGCAAGGATGCCCCAAGGCATGGTATATTGGAGAGACCATGCAGAAGCTATGACAACAGATGAATGGACACAGCACAACAACCGCCAGACAGCGATGTTCCCTCCCAGTGGGGGAGCACTTCAGGGGTCAAGGACATTCGGACTCGGATCTTTGGGTAAACGTCCTCCAAGATGGACTTCGGGATACACAACAACGCAGAGTCGCCAAGCAGAGGCTGCTAGCCAAGTCTCGTACCCATGAGGACAGCCTCAATCAGGATCTTGGGTTCATGTAACACTACAGGTGACCCTACCACACTATACGCACACGCTTACTCTCCCTCACTCACTCACTCACTCTCACACACACACACACACACACGAGAGAATCTATGGAGTGAATTTGTATTTGCGGATACATTATGTTTTGTTCAAAAAGCACAAAATTTATAGACAGTCAGTCAGTCAGTCAGTCAGTCAGTCAGTCAGTCAGTCAATGTGGCATTTTATAAATTTCTACTTTAGAAATAAAACCAGCCTGACTCCAAACCAAAACACAAACAGATTTGAAACAATGCCTCACACCTAACATGCATTGTCTGACATAAAATGTCACCTCTTTACACAAATAAAACCTTTAGTTTTCTCAGGACAGTGATTTAAAAGGAAATTGGGGATTTACATATACATATTAATTAATTAAAACCTTCAACTGATTAAAGATTTAACAGCATTTAGTTTTGTTTAATACATCCTGATCAGTGGTGTGACCCTTTGATCTTTTGCTTATAAATTCTGTGTCCGAAACTAGCTCTCTCACTAACACCTGAACAAGGAGAAGAAGGGTCCCGACCCGAAACGTCAGCTTTCCTGCTCCTCTGATGCTGCCCGGCCTGCTGTGTTCATCCAGCTCTACACCGTGTTATCTCAGACTCCAAAAGCTTGTGTTTTCAAATAAACCTGTTGGACTATAACCTGAGAAAGCAAGAACTGCAGATGCTGGAGTTAGAGATAACACAGTGTGGAGCTGGAGGAACACAGCAGGTCAGCCAGCCTCAGAAGAGCAGGAAAACTGACGTTTCGGGTTGGCACCCCTTATCGGAGAAAAAAAAGACTATAACCTGGTGTTGTGTGATTTCTGATGATGTAATTTTAACAAAGGAACATAAAACAAAAACAAAAGACAAGAACCATTTGAAAACATCTTTTTACAAACATCAGGAAAAAAACATCCTTTTTACCCTCACATGAACCTTACAGACACTCAATCCATCAGTGATGGGTCACAAGGTAGCCCACCCCACCCCCGAAGGTGCTGACTCTCACTGGGGTACGGAGTCCCCCTCCTGAAGGTGCTGACTCTCACTGGGGTACGGGGTCCCCCTCCCAAAGGTGCTGACCCTCACTGGGGTACGGGGTCCCACTCCTCTCCTGAAGGTGCTGACCCTCACTGGGGTACGGGGTCCCCCTCCTGAAGGTGCTGACTCTCACTGGGGTACGGGGTCCC